GGGGGTTCCCCCAAGAAAAAAAAAAAAAAGAAGAAGGGGGGAATCCGGGGGAGGCGGGCGGAGGAGAGGGGGCCCTTCCTCGGGGACGGTAAGATTTTTTTTGCCCTCGACCCAAGGGGAGATTCCCCGGGGATCCTCGGGGGGGGGGGGGACGACCCCCCGGGGGTGGGGGTGTTCAGGAAAAGGGTCAAGGGGGGAAAGAACCCGGGTTTTCCGGGGGGGGGGTTAAAGGTAAGGATTTTTCCCAGCAGCCGGGGGGTGGTTTTTTTTTTGCCCCCCCCCCCCCCCGCGCCCCCCCGCCCAAAGTGCAACTACATGACAGTCAGTCCATCACCGCCCACGAGCGCTCGCTGTGTGAGGTCATGCGGTCCTGTTTCCGTACGACTTGTGGTGACTGGTGTCCCAACAACAGCAGTCGGAGGCGATGGCCAGTGCCAAGGTACAGAAGCTACTATTTGTAAAAACGAGCGTTCTTTGGGCGGAGACTGGTCCTTTCTCCCCCGGATTTCCCGCTCGCCTGTGGGCAACCGAACGCTCGGGACCGAGCGACAGCAGCAAGCGCTATCTAAGGGAGAGTGGGGGGGGGCGTGGTGGGGTGCATGCGGCAGGTACGGCTGCGCGCCTTATTCATTTTCTGGCCCTCCGAGGGTGCTTCAGGTTCAAGCAAAACTATACCAACAGTTGATCAGTCGTGTAGTACGTAAGGCGCACAGGGGACAAACTTATGGCGCCCCACCCGCCGCCTGCCCGACAAGTTAGTCGAAGTCATCCATACCTCGTCTCTTTTCTAAAAAGTCGCAGATTACCTTTTCCCTCAAGTTGTATGCACGACTTCGGTGCGTGCACAAGCAGGCACGTCTTTCGGCCTTGGTGAAGTTGCCACGGCTGCTTCCGTCACCTCTGTCGCGCCGGAGCCCTAGACCACGCCCACCGGCGGCACTCACCGACCATTCTTGCGTACCCGGAAACACAATAAACGAACACAGCTCCACTTCCATGCCCGCGCCACCATGGCCCTTTGACTCTCTAGCCCTCCCCTTCCTCTACGTACGCAAAGCCAGCTGAAATTGCGTATGGTCAAAATTGCCGGGAGAACCTACAAACATATGAAACTTTTTTTGTTCCGCCGCGTCTCGATCCCACGGCCGTCTCTTTCTCGCGGCCCCCCACCCAGGTCGGGCTGGCCATCGAGGGCGGGGGTATGCGGGGCTGCGTGTCGGCCGGCATGATCGCCGCGGTGTCGACGCTGGGACTCATGGACACGTTCGATGCTGTGTACGGGTCGTCGGCGGGGAGCCTGGTCGGGGCGTACGCGATCGCGGGGCAGGTGTGCTATTATAGCGGGGGTTTTTGGGTTGGGTACTACATGGGATGGTACCGGTTGATGGCATTTCGTGGTGCGGTGCCGCTGCGCTCTTTTTGTTGTTGTCTTGGTTTTGTGGACCCATTTTCTGAGAGGCACCAGACGTTCAGTTCAGGGAGCTGAATCTCGCTTGTTCGTTGAAGGATTCGAACCGAGTTGTGCGAGGAACTACATGGCTGACAGCGATCGCCGCATCTCACCCACTCTACGCGTCCATACAGGCTGCACGTTGGTGTAGGGATAAGAACTCAATCCTTAGGGATGCACGAGAATTTCGTTGTTTTTGGCCATTTTTTCCTCAGCCCGTATGACACGTGAGATACGACACCCCATGGACCGATGATGTTCTTCACAGAAACGAGAGCACGAATTGCAACGGCCTCATGGAAAAACTTTACAGCGACGTATCGGTCGATCCCGCTTCCCTCACTGATGCGGAGAAATCGAGCTATTGTACCATAACCGTGGGAAAGGGAGGTGCGGTATCTTGCGTGGCGCATCGTAGTGCCCCTCACCACGGAAAGTAGAAGCCCCACCCCCACCTTTCTCTCGCGGAATGATGATGACAGACGACGCGCTGCGTGTGACTGCGCGCCCGCGCCACGTGCGCTGCTGCACTACCGCCAAGTGCTTCGAGCCCATCCACCGCCACCAATCGTCGCTCAACTTGTCTGTCCATTAGGAAGGGATGCCGCGGCTGGGTTGCAGCGTGTACTACGACACCCTCACCGGGACTGGGCGTCATTTCATCGACACCAGGTGGGGCGCGAAAAGGGACGGGGACAAACAAACCAACTAACGGTTAGCGCCATGGTCGCGTCGGAGCTCGTGACAGCGTGTGACCACGGCGGTGCTGCGTGGACAGACAGACCAGTGCCCGACGAAACGTTGAACAAGTGCCGGCGCGACGGAAGTGAAACATCCGAGACGCGGACAGACTGACAGGCAGACAGACAGACAGATAAAATAGACAGACAGATAGACAGACAGACAGACAGGCTGACAGACAGGCTGACAGACAGGCAGGCAGGCAGACAGGCAGGCAGGCAGACAGACAGACAGAGACAGAGAGACACAAGACAGGCAGGCAGGCACGCACGACAGACGTAGGCGGTCGCGCGGACGATGCGTGTGGTGACCGCAGCCAGTCATCCCAGCGATCCGCCTCTTCATGGCAGTGTCGAGAGGCTCTTTGCGACCATTGGTAACGCTTTGTCCTCGCGCCACGAATCGTTGCCGTCTTTGTCGGCCGGCGCGTGTACGGGCGCACCGACCTGGGCAGATTTCGGCAACAGCAGTGCTACCCCAATTTTTTTCCGCTCCGTGCGTTGCTTTGCCTGTCGCTCCCCGTGGGCTTCGTGCGCTTGTGACGTTCTTGCTTGTTTGGTCCTCACCTCACCATGCTTACTCTCGTGTTTTGTTCTTTGTTTTGGCCCTCTCCCTACCGTGCTGCTGGCATCGTTTGTTCCCCCTGTCGAGCAGACAAATATTTCGTTCGATGGGCCTGGGGCTGTTCGGCACGGTGGTGACGAGGTGGAGAGGGATCAAGGAGCTAGTCAGACAGGTGCGATTGCCCCACGGGGAGAACCAGTGGCCAAGGGGGGGGGGGGGCACGATCGTGAGAACGATTTCATCTCTGAAGGACTTGATCATGTTATCACTCCAAGAAATTATTTTCAGAGGTCGCGAATGCAAGACACGAAGTCGACTCGCTTCGTAGTAGATCGTGTTTCCTCGAGCAGATATTAAATGACCAGAACGTATCGTGGCTGGCTGTTGTTTGTTTTTCGATGCAGAAATGGGGATCACCGGTGCTGAACCTGAACTACTTGCTGCACGACGTGGTGGAGAAGCAGCGACCGTTAGACTGGGAGGGGTTCTGGAAGAAGCAGGCGACGCAGGTACGTGATGAAATAAAATGTGCGTGAACCGCTCGCGCTAGATAGATGCACGGGTCGGAGCTTGGCGTGTGGTACGGCATACCGGCTGGTATCACCCATATAAATAATCAGTGAAAATACTTTAAAAGACTCGAAAGAAGGGTAGTACCCAGTACCCAGCCGGTTTTCCTCCACTCACTGTAAACACTCCAACACCTCCCGTTCGACTGTGGGTATATATCGAACGGGTAGTCTTTCTGTGTGTATTTATTTTTCCTAATACCGTACCGCTTATCACGTATCGTTGGCGTCCGCCCTCCGAAGACGGTATTTTGTTTTGCGGTTTCGGTCGGTCTCGTGGACGAATCAGCACTAATGTCCGAGATTTTACTCTGGGCGCTCGCTGCGGCGAATCTTTCGCGTCGCATTGAAGTTGTACACGAAACGGCAGTTCTTAAGTGCGCTGCCGTTGTCCGCAAAGGAGCGCGCTGTGCGGCCGCCGGCCGTTTCCCCGATCTCAAGATGTGACGGTCGCCGCACCAAAAAATGCTCGAAAGCAACCCAAGTAGTAGGCTCTGCCGCACTGCTGTGTAATCCCCGCCGCCGCCGGCCTACTGATTTTTTTAATTTTTTTGCCTCTCTTTTGGAATTGTTCTCCAAAGCCTTTGCACGTGATTGCTAGCGGCGTGACGTCTAAGAAGGCTGTCGTCATGACCAGCAAGGGGGGGCACTTCGGCACGCTCAGGGAGCTCACGGAGTGCATGCGAGCGTCCATGCTGCTGCCGGGCATCACCGGGCCCATGGTGAGACCAGCACATGGCTTGTGTGCCGAGGTTGTGCCCGCGATCCCGTCGGTCTCTTGGCGCTGCGCAATGCCTGCCTACCGTAGGCCGACGTAAGATATCCATATCCCACACTTGGACTGGCTTTCAAGGCTCGATTGTTCCACCGCAGAAGAGTCGCGGTGCCGACGACGGCATTGGAACTAACTCCTCAAGAACTTTCCGAAAACGTATATATATATTTTTTTTTGTACATCCTCTTCGTGGTGGAGTAGTGGAGCTATGAAACTCCGTCCTAGCGGTGTGATATCTTCCGTAACTTATGGTATGCAACAGCCACGCGAAGCAATGTTTTTGTCCACATGGCAGCAGCAGCAGCAGCTAGTGTTGTGTCCGCGGCGGCAGGTGACTTATCAACAGCCACGCGAAGCAATGTTTTTGTCCACATGGCAGCAGCAGCAGCTAGTGTTGTGTCCGAGGCGGCAGGTGACTTATCCGTAGGTTTGGTCAGTAAGCAGTGCCGCAGCGGCGTCTTCGGTGCAGCCCTGTGAGCACTACAACATGCCACAGCACCCCTTTGTGTTGTGTTTGGCTGATGGCCATAGCACCGGCACATCGAGATGCTACACCGCTAACGTATATTTCGGGTTCTTTTTCGAGTAGACCCAAATTAGAGGTTGACTCCCCTGTGCTCGGCTTTCCGCCGCCGCCGCCGCCGCCGCCGCCACCTTCGGTTTGACCCGGCACCTCGTTCACCCCCCCGTCCCCGTCACGCTCCCTCGGAAAAGGTCACGCTGCCCAACGTCGACGAGCCGCTGGTGGACAGCCAGCTGTACGAGCAGATCCCGTTCCAGACCGCTCTCGACGACGAGTGCACGCACGTCTTGGTTATGCGATCACGGCCGGACGGTGGGTGTGGTATTATTAGTAGCTCGTTCGTTCGTTCCGTTATCGTTTGGAGGACAACTGTCGGGAGTATAGCCAACCATTTGTGCAACGATACAAAGTATAGGAAGACACAACTCCATCGGAGTAGCTTGCCATCGGGAGAGTGATAAGAAAATGCACCGTTGAGCTCTGTCTCTTCCGTAGTTTTTGGCCGCTTGCTGAGGTCAGACGCGGAGACTCTTCGACTCTCCTCCCTCTGCCCGCTGGCCACTACTTCTCTACCTCTCTCTCCTTGTTCCATCTCACGGAAGGAAATAAGCCACCCTTGGCAGTGGTGGGTGAATACGGCAACGGCACTGGCCTGTCTGTCTCTGACAGGAGCTGCGTCCTCGTTGGTGTCGACGAACAACACGGCTCCGCCGTGAGTTGTAGTGAGCTAGAGAAAAAGAGAGAATGTGCCACCCAGCAACAAAAACGCGCAGAAAAATACACTGCGTGAGCGGGCACACAGCAAGCGGGAAAGGTTGGCGGAGGAGCGAAGCGACGAGCTTGCGCGCAAGGAGGAGGAGGAGGAGGAGGAGGAGCTCGCGAAGTTGCGGCAGCAGCTTGCCGCCACCGGCTCCAACTGGTCATCACCGACCGTTATCCCCCCGGGGAGGGGCACTCACCCCTCCTCAACGTGCTTCTCCGCCTCTCGACCTTGACGGGAAAAGGCCTCTCCAGCAAGAGCCGGTTCCCGAGGAGGGCGAAGTGTGAAGGATGACGGCCCCGACGACGGGGATCTGAACGAAGGCGACGAGGGGGAGGAGGGCGGCGGTGACGAAAACGGCGGCTACCTTGAGAACGGGTCTCTCGAGTCCGACGACAAGCACGATATGCTGGATGGGTTGGAGCCCTCCTTCCAGTGCTGGACGAGCAACTCGGAGAAGTGGCCTCCTCCAGGCTGCATCAGCGCCTCCCGATCTTCGGGCGAAAGCTCCTGCGTCCGACGTTCCTCAAGCAGTTGACGCATGGCGTGCATGTCGTGCTCGTCGTCGGGCTCGAGAGACCGTCGTTCTCATTGTAGCCGCCGTTTTCGTCACCGCCGCTGTCGTCACCGCCGTCCAGAGGCCGGTGCCGTTGCAGCGTTCGTATTCACCCGCCACTGCCAAGGGTTACTTATTTCCTTTCGTGACATGTAACGAGGAGAGAGAGGCAGAGAAGCCACCCTTGACAGTTGTGGGTGAATACTGCAACGGCACCGGCCTCTGTCTCTGACAGGAGCCCGTGTCCTCAGTCGACCTTTTTCTTTGTTTTCCTGGCTGTGCTGTGCGCACATTATTTTATTTTTTTTGGTCTTCACTTCAAATCAGCGCTCACAGCATTAGTGCCGTTTACTCCAACCCGTGAACACACAGAAGAGCCCCTCTCTACCCTCCCCTCCTGCGGTACTTTGCCTTCGATTTTTAACGCGAGAAGAGTTCAGCACTCTCTTCCCTCTGTGTACACACGAACTAGCGATATCCACTAGGCCAGAAGCGGAAGCGAGAGAAAAACTCACGTTGCAAGAAAAGTTCGCTTACGCCGGGATTCGAACCCCTGACCTGACCTCTAGAAGGTTTCGAGGATACCAACTAGACCACCGGGGCGATGCGGTCAGTCGGGTCCAGGTTGTGCGCAAGGGGAGACAAAGAGAGGCGAGCGCGTGTGTACGTGCCTGGCTGCGGCAGCACCCACACGCTTGGATTTTTCCCCTGTCCAAAAGAGGCTGGCAAGAAGAACGAAGAGCTGGCGTTCGTGGCGGTGGGCGCTCCGTGTGTGGCTCGCCGCCGCGCCAACCCAACCGCTGGCCTCCGCTATTGCATGCCCTTGCCATCCATCGTCAACGGGTGCACTCAGCGTACAGCAGGAGTGACGTGCATTACCCCTCCCCTTGCCTCGCCCCCCCCGCTCCCATGTAGCACCCTACATCTATACTTACA